CCGATATATAATGACGTAGTTTTTCCTTTATTAATGGCAATGATTGTAATTATCTGACGATGAGTGGTGCACACATGTTGGAGACGTACACAATTAACGCACTTCTGTAAAAAAGAATTATTAAAGGAGAAAAACCTTTTCGACGTCTACATTTCTTTAATGATTGTAGCGCTTAAATTAGAAAATGTACAGCACAAACAAATTCGAAAATTCTGAAGTTTACGTATTAACTTAGTATACAATTTAGAAGTTGATCGTGAAATTTCCATCTAGAAAGTAAACAATTTTTCAATGAAACACGTCTAAGTTTTTATCATAAAATTATTTATTTAATCAACAAAGCGACCGCTCTAATTACGAACACTACTTTGATCTTTGAACAAAGAAGATAAAAGGTTTTTTAGTATTAGTTTACAGCGTCGAATAAAGTAAATACACGATAATGTACATAGTGAAAGACGAATTATAGCAATACAGGGAGAAGGTTTATTTTTTGCAGAGTTTTGTAGAGAAATTTTCGTTTTCATTGTATAAGATACTCGTTGCAATTAATATATTATTGAGATCCTTAGATTTATTAGTGAGCTTTTCAAAATAAAATCGTGCAATTCACTAAAAAAAAAGTGATATTTTTTTGCCGTAGAATACAGAACCGGAATAAAATAAAAATGTAATTATTATATTTACAAAGAAGATACTTGTTCACAAATATTTTTACATTAAAAATTTAAAATTTTAAAACTTGAGTAATTGCTTTTCGGAGTAGCTTGCCTCAATCCGGCTTCTAGTTTACGTTATTCGACGTTTCACCAGTTGTCGAGATATAGATACAGTCCTAGCTCCTGGACAACAGCCATCAAACCCGAACTTCTAGCTTTTTTCACATAACGTTTTAAGCTATTTACCGATTTCTAACTACGTTTANTCCTTATTATTTATTAGTGTCCGTTGCAATTCCTACCTGACATCTCTTTTGTATGTTTACGATATTCCCTATAATGTTTGTCGTAAATAAAAATAGGCGTTATGACAGCAACCGCTCTAGTCTAGTTAGTAAATTGAAAGAAGAAAGTAAATACGACAGTTTTATTGCGGACTATGCCAATTTTGAACGTTTCAACTATGCCAGGTTTCAGATTCTATATTAGCTAGCCGAGTTGCATCCACGTAATACCTTTTTCAACTAACCAATAACATCTAGGCGCCGCTGTTGGGTACTTGACACCCTCATCTATGTAACTATTTTAATCAGTTGATCTAAACACACTGGATAGAAGGTTTGAAATGCTGAAAAGGCTGATTACGAGATTAAATGTAAATTGGCATTGCGTAGACGACTGTAAAAAAGGATGAAATAAAGCAACAACATCGCATTTATGGCGCGGCGCAATTCATGCAAATTACATATTCTGCACAGTTCAACTTTTTCTCCAAAACCCTCCTCTTGACCCTGTCGTCTAATTTGAATTTACAAAAAGCGTTTTATGTTCGCGGAAAGTTATTCCCTCCTCGGCGGAGGCCGTAAGTTTCTTGGTACAGGCGCAAAAGAGAAAGAGTTTTGTATTTATAGAGGCCATCAAAATGGACATAAAGCTTTCGAATGGCCAAAGTCCCCGAAGACAAATCTCGAATGCGATCGCGGCCGTTGCTCATTATTCTCCGGCGATCACGTGGGGTTTCCTCGGATATTGGAAACTTAATTTTTCTGACAAGGACGTCCCGACATCGGGTGCCGCCCTTGCTATCGTCGTCGTGCTACGTCGGCAGAAGCAATAAATACGATCGAAATGTGTACTTAACCGAGATGCTCGTTACAATGTTTGTTTAACTCAACTTGAAATTGAAGCAATTCCGATGAAACATTTTTCTTAATTTGACGTTCCCACTTAAAATTTTTTCATCAAAAAAAAAATGGTTTTATAAAGAAAAGTCAAAACACGTTGATGAAATCAATTGCAAAAGCGACGTATGCAAATCTCCCGGGCCTGGAACGGCGAAAGCTTGCACATAAACAACAGATGGTGTTATGTAAGTTTGAAAAGTGGTCGTATATTATTCGGTTTGATAAATAATGTTTGTTTATAACCGCTTAGGTTGTTGCTGGAGTTCTCCTAAATGCAAGTTGAAATGCATTCGGCGAGAATTAATTGCCATAAGCCGGGCAAACAGCACGACATGTGCTTTACTTATAATTAATTAATGTAAGACAGAGGTATGCGACCAGCGAATTGAGTGGTAGAGTGGAGTAGTAGTTACTGCAATTACTGCATCCCATGCGAAGTTGGCTATGCGGCGAATATATCGTAGTTTAGTAGTTAGGTCAGCTAACGCCGATGGTGTTCTAGATTTTCTCCGTAAAGATTATAATTGCACCGTGGTCGACCGAATACAGAACCCTTAATAAAATATCGGGGTTGAGAACCTCACTAATGAATGAGAATAATGAATTAACTCTGCTCGAATAGACAAACAAGAATTATTATTATTATCGCCAGAACACAACAAATCATAGGTACATAGGTACCTTTATTGTGCCAAATCTCTTTAATGAAGTCTTCATTTAGTCGTACGAAATAATGAATCTAAAATTGGATTTCTGATGTACCGACCTTTTGAATTTTGATACCATAGAAATTCGAAAAATATTGTTGATGGTGTATATTTAGAGCGATGTACGTTGAAGAGATTAGAAGCGTTCGAAATGTGGTGTTACCGGCGAATGATGAGGATACCGTGGATAGAGAAGGCTAGAAATAAAGAGATATTAGAAAGAATAGGAGAACACAGGACTATATGGAAGTCAATAAGAAATAGGCGAGATAGGTTGGTAGGACACCTTATCAGGCATGAAGGTATAGTCAGAAACATATTAGAGGGAGAAACAGGAGTTAAGAGGAGTAGAGGTAGACCTGGATTAGACTACTGTTCATAAATAGTTAAGGATATGGCATGTTCTAGTTTTAGGGAAATACGAAGATTAGCTCAGGATAGAAAGGAGTGGCGTTCCGTGTCCAACCAGTCTTAGGACTGGCGACCTTATGATGATGAGAAGACATTCTGAAAAGGGCATGATTGTGACAATTTGGTGATTTATCATATATAAATACTAATTAAAGAAAATTTAGTTGTGGTAAGCGCTATAAGTAGGTTAGTATTAAATAGATCTTACAGTATTTATCTGTCCTCAAAAATAGGATTTGTTTGTCGTTTTTATTGATACATTTTCAAAAATGTATAGATATTTATAAAAGCAAAATTTATTTATAAAAGCAACAATCCATTTTTAAATTATTAACTTACTAGTCAGGTATGACCTACTTACAATTGGTCTAAATTCTAAAAGACGGTGTCGATTTAATGTTATTTAATATGTTTGCTGAATTCGTTTCGTAGACTCGATGTTGTTTAACTAAAAGCAGCGTTATTATTATGTTTATTATCATACCACGAATACAATCAAGCTTACCAAAATCGCAACAATACAACAAAGTGGTCATTTGCAATATTTCATCCTTCAAATAAAAAGCGCTTTAGGAATAATCGGGTGCTGGGATGTTGTCAGGAAAATAACGTCTGGTTATTGACTGTCACGGAATCGCATGGTGAATTTTGAACACACCTAATCGTGCTTTGTTTTCCAAATTAGAACGTAGACAATTTGCGTGTGCCCAATTTTTGACTATTGTTTACAGAATTGTAACCACCTTGACATAAATTAACAGGACCTAAACATTTATAACTGAATAGTTAGTAGAATTTATTTGAAATCAATGTTAAATTAAAAGTCCAAGTCAATTAAACATTAAGGCAGTTATTGCAGAAAATTTCTCATAATATAAATTTTGATTAATCAAAAATTTATAATAACAATTTTTTTTCTGTTATTAAAATTAATGCATGTAATGCTTATACATATAAGTGTGTAATTTGAAACTCGCTCACGGTTTTCTTCGTTGGAATCCACAACTATAATAATATATGCTTTTACTTTTCCCACATAGCGATTATAGACACGGCAAATCTAATAAAAAGTTTATTTTATTCGGTCCAAAGCGAAAAGACTAATTGGGCCTTCTCGTTGTTCAAATGTTCTTCATTTGGAAGAAACGATCTTATAATGAATTAGTTTCAACTAGGCTACAACATGCATGTCGTAATTACCTAACGATTCCGTTAGCGGGCATTTAGTCCAACAGCCACTACTGTACCTTATCTCTATGACCCTATGATCAAATAATGACATAAAAGCACGTCTATGACTTAAAACCGTTCTACATATCATCATCCTACATATCAGTGGTATACGACTATCCTATAGACAGACAATTTCCTTATTATAAAGTGATATTTTTAAAAGGTTCATTTCATTTTCATGGATTCTCTTAAGATGAGTTTGGGTCTGTCCTTCTTCGCGAACCTAACCGTCGGGTCTAGTTAATGTCATCCGTTGAGGGAAGCAAAATATTCAAGATTTTACGATTATCATGATCAATTTAAGAATGGTCTTGCAACATAAAATGCCGATTAAATTAGTAAAGTCCATCGTTTTAAATAATAAGCATGCAAATTGTGTAGTTATTATTGGATAGCACTAAACGCTCAAATTAAAATTTTACAATTTACGAAATGAAACGACGATCGAATTTTTTATATCGCGCAACGGGTAATAAATTGTGGAATTTGCCGTTTCCTACTCTTTTAATGTTAGTAGGTACAAAATTTTTATTTTGCTGCATTAAATTTCAAATAATTGATTATCGCACTATAAATGCCGAAACAAAAACGTCGAGGAGAAAGGTGGTTGCTCGCATAAATTTGAACACTCAACACGCGAATACAAATTACATGGTAAATACTTGATTAAAATCTAAGCGGGTTTGACCACACCTGTCGGATACATGCTTTCCCAACATAATTTAGCATAAATCAAATTACTCTTTGAACTTGGAGTTGTTCGTCTAGGTGACCTTGGAAATCAGGTTCATGAAGTTTCAATAAATTGACAGTTCAATTTTCTAAAAGAAAAAAAATTCAGAGTTCTGCGAGGAGCATTTAATAATACGTAATTGCTTGTACAAATTGTTTGTCTGGTATATATCCTATATCCTATGAAATTAGTTAATTGAAAATAAAAACTGACGCGTTATACGACTGATAATTTAAAGTGAATTCCATACCGATTTTATGCTAAAGTCAACGCCAATCGTAAACTAATATGACCTTTAAAATCCCTATTTCAGCAAAATAACGTACAGTTATTATTATAAATAATCAGATCCTTTTTCATTCAAAATTTCCAACAATTTATAAGCTTATCTTAAAACATTATAATAAACGAGCTTGAAGTATAAATATTATCGTTCTAGATGAGATATAACAGCAAGTGAATTTTATGGGAAAACCGATAACCTTTATCACTTGCAACGTATACATTATGTACGTAATATTCATTCATAAGTTAAACAGATTTAGCAAAGTCATTTTTAGTTATGACATAAGGTACTATGTATACCTCATAAATTTTATAATAAACTTTTTTGTATTACTTAAAGAACCCGAATGTTACTCCTTTCAAAATAGACAAGAATTTTTATTGTAGGAAATAGGTCGGTATCTGTCCTTAAAAGTATAATTTCTGATGCACATCTCTGAAGAGAGGGATTGAATAACGGGGCAACTTTTTCCGAACTTAAGTATGCACCACCTAATAATACCTTTAGAATATCTGAATCTTCTCAAGGGACCGACAAGATCCATTCTCCTGCCTGTTTTGCGACATTTGTGAAAGGCGAAGACGAGGTAAAAAATGTTGAAAGCCACAATTACTGTGATGTTTGTACCTGACAGCGATTGTTTCTCGTACTCCTGAGTAGGGCTTACAATACCGAACNCCTCAATTTCCATTACACTATCACTAAATAGTATAAAACAAAGTCGCTTTCCTGCTGTCTGTCCATATGTATGCTTAAATCTTTAAAACTACGCAACGGATTTTGATGCGGCTTTTTTTAAATAGATAGCGTGATTCAAGAGGAAGGTTTATATGTATAATGCATGCATAATATACTAGAGAAACGCTGATAATTTTAGAGGTTTCTAATGTGATGTCGTAAATAAACACATTTTTTGCCCTTACGTTGCAAACGCTGGCTGAACCCTACGAGAGATCAAAATAATGTACTATAGAATTGTACATCTTAAAAAGATCTACAAAAGAGTCCGCGATGGTATATGTCTATCTCTTAGGGATAACCCACAATAACCATTTTTTATCCTTTACTTTTTATGAGAAATAATGACTTATATCCGAAGCGATTTTAAGCAATACAGCATTAATTCTTATCCAATTAAGTACCTTAAATACATTGTGCATTTAATATAGATCAATATGGTCCTCTACTTATCTTCAAAAAAAATTTCTTGTAATTAATATTATTTTAAATTAGATTTATATTGTGCATAAATTCAATTTTTATCAAGTAATGTAATACCAAAATACCGGTATTTTTACTTAAATACCGGTTTTTAATAACGGACAAAAATCGTCTGGGATTCCGGTATTCGGGATCCCGGAATCCCGCTATTGTAAGCCCTACTCCTGAGACTGTAACGTGATTAAAAAAAACTTTCTAGTCGATAGAGGGGTTTTCACCACCCCAACTCCCTTCCGTGACTACGCCACTGTATTATGTCATTCTCAAATTTGAAGCTACAGTTCACAGTAACAACAAACTACAACAATACGGTTGTAAATTCCTTGAAAACATCACTCATAAATTTGAATTTCATATCGTGTTTAACGCTATTGAGTTTTTATTTAAATTGTTAAAATTTCTACTCAACGTTTATTCGCCCTTTTTGTCCCTTATTATACCCCATCAGCAGTAATAACGGAAGTCATATTAAAACCAACGAAAAATTCATTTGTTTGCATTGTATCAAAGGTCTTCATCGTGTTTTCCACCAAGTTTATCAATAAAAGTCAATTTCATGAAATTTCAGTGATTGTGTAGTTGTTACTTAAATAAACAGCAGTCATGTTTACATAGCTAAATAAATATTCTTTAACGATATAAGCGCTCTTTAGATCGATGAATCAAACCTTTTCATATCGTGATTTCTCGGAGAGAAAATGTTTACCCACAACTGAGTTGATATTTCAGCTAATTTTCTAAAAGATAATTTACCTACCTATAAATTCAAACGCAAGAGGATAATTGCTCTCAATTATAGTTAGTTTCGCATGAAGAATAATCAAGACGGCTATTCACAAACTGTATTTTTATGGTATGACTTTGTAATACTTCTACTTTGAAATATCATAATCATCTACAATTCTAAAAGCAGCAGTTACAGCCAACATACTAATATTCTTAATTACGAGTCACCTACTTGCCAAAAAAAAATTTTTTTTGGATATATTAAATGTTAAAATTTTCGCAGGATTATCCCCTTTGTATTTACTTGAAACTTCGAACTTTGTTTTGAAGTTTTAAATAGGGAAATGGCTTATCTAATAATTGAATTTCGTGTTAAAACATTTTTTTTAATTATCGCCATAGTTCTCATAATGATAAAGTCAAAATCGAAAAATAAGAAAGATACTTTTTTCAAACGAATCCAAAATCTTGTCGTTACTGATGAGCACGAAACCACCGTGATAAAGAGATCATTTTGGCAAAACAAAGCTAATGTATCCTCAATTTCCATTACACTATCACTAAATAGTATAAAACAAAGTCGCTTTCCTGCTGTCTGTCCCTATGTATGCTTAAATCTTTAAAACTACGCAACGGATTTTGATGCGGCTTTTTTTAAATAGATAGCGTGATTCAAGAGGAAGGTTTATATGTATAATGCATGCATAATATACTAGAGAAACGCTGATAATTTTAGAGGTTTCTAATGTGATGTCGTAAATAAACACATTTTTTGCCCTTACGTTGCAAACGCTGGCTGAACCCTACGAGAGATCAAAATAATGTACTATAGAATTGTACATCTTAAAAAGATCTACAAAAGAGTCCGCGATGGTATATGTCTATCTCTTAGGGATAACCCACAATAACCATTTTTTATCCTTTACTTTTTATGAGAAATAATGACTTATATCCGAAGCGATTTTAAGCAATACAGCATTAATTCTTATCCAATTAAGTACCTTAAATACATTGTGCATTTAATATAGATCAATATGGTCCTGTACAGCATATAATTTAAATGAATATTTTCGAAGATATTACAGATTTAAAATCAGGGACATAGCGATTGCGGCGGTACCGGCCGAGAGGTCGGTTTGTATTGTCTAATGACAAAAAAACTGTGAATGTTGTATATAAAGACATTCTGTAGTATATTTAGTATGTTCAGGGGGTGTTTTCTAAAGATTTCCCCTCCTCAATAATAATCTAAACAAAATAAAAATATATTTAGTATCAGCATTGCACTCGTGCGAAGCTGGGGCGGGTCGCTAGTGTAAAAATTTTTGCATCGTTACTCTTGTAGCTGTTTTCTTCATCTTTGATGAAAGACGAGACAAGCATGACTGTCACAGTAAAAATTACCAATGTGGGAGAGATATGCGTGACCTCCCCGGAGAAAAATGAAACTACGAAGAAGGCAAGCTAAAGGAAAACAGGTCAAGCCTCTCGTGTATTAAATGCAATACCTTAGTAGCTTGCTAGCGGGTAGAATATGTTGAGTAGCTGGTAGGCTTGAAAATTCGTTTCGAGTTTCGAGTCCGTGCTTCCATACAGGAAATGACTAGGACAAACGTGGAGCCCGAAAAATGCACTCGTTTATGCAAATACAAGAGGAGAACCAACCTCCTTTAGTTTGGTCGAACAGTGCCAGTCTCCGAGTCCTGAGTCAACAAAAAGCGAGTCTCTGCACGCAGTATTTGTCGTAATTATGTGCTGGAATACATAAGCGGCACTGTGCAAACATAAAAGGTCTTTATTGAAGCCTCTTTTAGGAGCCGTGTGTTACTGTAGGCGTCCACGTCACAAACAACAAACATACACACACAATATATATATATATGTACGTGCCTTTAGTAGTCTTTTAAATGGTCGTTTGTTTCTTCGAGACATTTACACCTGAACACTAAGTACTTACGGACGTGTAAGTACGCAAGTAAATTACTAGCCGTCTTCTTTTTTTGTTTCATGTGTCATATTCTCTTTTTTTTACCTTCCATCCTACAGTTAGTTAGCTCTAATTGGCTTGTTGGTATTTGGAACCACATCCATAATATGCACGGATTGAGCAAAAGGTCATACGAAAAGACCAAGCGCATTTGGTCCTCAAGGACTCCACTGCTACACGTTCGAAGAAATAATTAAACAGAAACAGTAGGAATCTGGCTTAATCAATCGTATCCGATTGTAGAATATCCTTCCTCTACATGCAATGTGAGACGTTCTTCCAGTTTCAAACGATTACTTTAATGCTATATGCTTGACCCTATAAGAAAATGCTAGATTTCTAGTACTAACTGCGATTTCTCATACTAGTTTAACATAGTAACGTAAAAATCAGGTTGGAGTTAACATAAAAATGGAAGGCGAAAAGCTATAAGAAATCCATCTAATTGAATTCTGGATTGAATAGAAAATGCACCTACGCTCAACTGCGTTTGTTGCATTTATTTGAATCACTATGTGAATCGCATATAGAAAAAGTTAGAGGATGTTGTGTTCCAAAAGTCGATCCCTAAGGTGAAGCTGTAACCAAGTTCGACTGCAGCTTCTTGTTGGCGAGATATACAAATACTAACTCAAGATAATAAGAAATGTAAATGTGTTTTCAATCAGTCTTCGGGTAGAAGAAGACCTAATTATGATCATTTTTATAATTAATTTGCTGTCCTGATTCGTATCTAAGGGCCGTCCTCGATTGGGCTATCTACATTAAGCCAGATCCAGCATTGGAGATGGAACGACCTCTGAAGAAGATCGCCACTCGTGCCAGCGAAACGCTAGAAAGCAAATCCAACCGATAATAGGCTTTAGTTCCAAATCAAGGCAGCATCAGTCGACCTACTAATCACGGAAGTGTTTACCAGTTTATAATTTATTTATTACAATATAATTGCTCATCAGTTTACAATTTGCAATCATGCATTATTACCCATCTTTGCTGGAATTCCCTGTAATCTGTATCTAGCGCATTTTTTATAAGTCAACAAATTATGAAATTATAAACTAATATATATTATTACCATTCGTCACATTAAATGCAACGTTTAATAGCAGTTTGCGATATAAGCTCTTGTTAATTACAACGTAAATATGGAACTAATTAAAAGAATATGCTATCCACGATAAATAATTAATAGTTGTTAAACCGATATATAATGACGTAGTTTTTCCTTTATTAATGGCAATGATTGTAATTATCTGACGATGAGTGGTGCACACATGTTGGAGACGTACACAATTAACGCACTTCTGTAAAAAAGAATTATTAAAGGAGAAAAACCTTTTCGACGTCTACATTTCTTTAATGATTGTAGCGCTTAAATTAGAAAATGTACAGCACAAACAAATTCGAAAATTCTGAAGTTTACGTATTAACTTAGTATACAATTTAGAAGTTGATCGTGAAATTTCCATCTAGAAAGTAAACAATTTTTCAATGAAACACGTCTAAGTTTTTATCATAAAATTATTTATTTAATCAACAAAGCGACCGCTCTAATTACGAACACTACTTTGATCTTTGAACAAAGAAGATAAAAGGTTTTTTAGTATTAGTTTACAGCGTCGAATAAAGTAAATACACGATAATGTACATAGTGAAAGACGAATTATAGCAATACAGGGAGAAGGTTTATTTTTTGCAGAGTTTTGTAGAGAAATTTTCG